ACTATATACTTACTTGATTATTGCAGGATCTTAGTGATCAATATAAATTTAATTTTCCTTGAAATACCAGCTATAGTGACTTTCTCTCATATTCAGGACGCATATATGAAAAAAGTCTAGTAAGACTGTTCAGGCACAAACTTTGAGAAGTGCCAGATTTATGATCCTCTCTGTAGTATTAGTATATAACTTGTAGGAATATAACTTATAAGCATCTTTAATCACAAGATCAGATAATGTTGTTCCCTGACTTTTTTTTTTCTCTGTCTAATTTTCTGGTGGATTAAAAACCAGAAATGTAGGTTATCAGTCTTGAAGTAAGGATCGCTGAAGTCTTTACTTCAGCTGTAGAAAAACTTTAAGTAACCTTTGTTACTTGCTTAGATGGCTGAAAATAGTATTAGGTTGTCCTTCTTGAACCTATTCCAGAGGTTTAAAAGGCATACTCTTAGGCCATATAGGTTAAACATGCTGACTGCAGAAAGGCAGCGGTGACATTTGAGGAACCTGGGTTCCACTCCAAGCTCTTGTGTATGAACAGACAGAGTCTTCACGGTTCATTCCTTGCACGTGCAACCTTATTTGTCTCATTGCCTCCAGTCTCTTCCATTCTTGTCTTGATTCTGTTGTCTTACTGTCCCATTCATTTGCCTGGCTTCATGTCCTTTCCTTATGTGTTTTATCCCAATCCTGATTTCCTTGCACAGCCAGCTTCTGCCCCTCCTCCTCTCCCTGGTTCTCATCCAAGCTTTCTCTTTTCTCTACTTTGGCTTCATGCCAACCTTCCAGCCCTTCTGTTACACTTATCCCTTTTTCCCACTTGCTTACAGTCCCAACATCCCTTGTTCAATCTTGGTGGTTTTTCCTCACTATGTCACTTTCTTCTTTTTTTTCTGCTTAGTCTGTCTCTGCCTACATCCTGCCTCCTTGTCATGTCTCTCTTCTTCCCTTTCACTTCATTTATTTCATGCTGTTAGTTCCAATGTCCAGCATTTTATCCATGCTCTGTTCTATTTTTTCCCCTCTGCTCTTTCTACCCTGCTGCTAGTCTCATTCCTGCAACCTACTTTTTCTAATCTGTTCCACTTTGCTGACCACAGGTGGTTAGGGTCCCCCTTTTTCTGCACTGAAATAGAAAAAATACTTTCCTCATCTACATTCTATTAAGAAGGGAGATCTGTAATGAGTTTCAGACATCATTTCCTGTTTCTAAATCAGTACTGTGAATCAGATTTGTGATTGCAGAGAAAATGCTATTCAGCCTCTGAATGATATTGCTATTATTTAGGGGTTTGCCTATGAGACTTTGGCTTTAAGGGAAACTCAGTCTTCTAAGTCATACTATTATGTAATGGAGAACAAATATATAATCTTCAAAACTCAATTCACAGTAACTCTAATAGTTTAGTAATTACCTCACTTCCTAACTTTGGGAGTTATCTGTCTTGGGATTTGTTTTCTTTGTTTCACTCCCCAGTAGCTTCAGGTCCCTAACATACGCTTTTCTTTTTAATGTCCTTGATGCTTCTGTTGCCTCTTGTCCTGTCACTGGGCACCACTGGAAAAAGCCTGGCTCTGTCCTCTTTGCACCCTCCCTTCAGGTATTTGCCCACATGGATGAGATCCCCCTGAGCCTTCTCTTCTCCAGGTTGAAGAATTCCAGCTCTCTCAGCCTTTCCTCATAAGTGAGGTGCTCCAGTCTCTTAGTCATCTTAGTGGCCTTTTGCTGGCCTCTCTCCATGTCTCTCTTGTATTGAGGAGTCCAGAACTGGATATATACAGTACTCCATTTGTGGCCTCACCACTGCTGAGTAGAGGGGAAGGATCACCTCCCTCAAGCTGCTGGCAACACTCCTAATGCAGCTCAGGATACCGTTAACCTTCTTTGCAGCTAGAGCACATTGCTGGCTCATGTTCAACTTGTTGTCTACCTTTTCTGCAAAGCTGCTTTCTGGCCAGATGGCTGCCAGCATGTGCTGGTGCCTGGGGTTGTTCCTTCTCAGGTGCCGGACTTTGCACTTCCCCTTGTTGAACTTAACGAGGTACCCATCAGCTCATTTCTCCAGCCTGTCAAGGTCCCTCTGGATGGCAGTGTGAGCCTCTGGCATATCAGCCACTCTTCCCAGTTTGGTGTCATCTGCAGACTTGCTGAGGGTGCACTCTACCACATCGTCCAGATCATTAATAAAGATGTTGAACAGGATTGGACCCAGTACTGTTCCCTGGGATACACCACAAGCTACTGGCCTGCACCTAGACTTCTTGCCACTGACCACCACACTCTGGGCCCAGCCACTGAGCCATTTTTCAATCCACCTGAATGGTGGAATGGCAGTGCATTATCTGTTTCTCTGCTTGGCAAGCATTACCTCAGAACAGGCTGTTTACAATGTAGATTGCAGATATTTTGAAGACTTCCTTACTAGTATAAGGTACAGCCTAGAAAAAGCACAGAAATAGGTATTTGAAAATTTATTAGTGATGGCCAAAGTCACAGACTGATGTGAGGTGGGAACTGGAGTCTGAATGCTGAATGAATGGGAAGAGGTAAAGCATGGAGGGTCTGTTAAGGCCTTTGAAAATGAGGGCAAGCAGCTTCTGGCTTGGTGAGAAAAGAAGTAGCCGAGGGGAATCGAGAAGGTAGGACTTTCAGATTAAAGGGGTGAGACAGGGAAACATTCCTTGCAGCAGCATTCTCAACAGTCAAAGGGCAAGGTATCCAGTAAGAGGTGTCAGAGAGGTAAAAAAATTATAATTTGGACAGAACACCAATAGAGAGAGAGAGCCATGCTTTATTAGTACAGAAAAGGTTAACTAAGTTTGTGTTTCGTAAAGGAGGGTACTCAGAGATAAGTTCTGAAAAGAGAAAAGTAATGTCTAAGGGGTTTCCTAGTGTCCTGTCAAAAGGCACTGAATAAATAATAAAGGGCTCAAGAGGAGAAGCAAGGCAATTGATATTTTGTAAGCAGATGTTTTAAATAATTGCCATTAGTAGTAGTTTTCTGTACAGTGAATCATCACACTGTTTTTTTCATTTATATCAATTGGCAAAGACAACACTGGAAAATAGGAATACATACAATGCTCATTTTATTCTTAGGCTCTACAATATTTCATTTGATACTGCAGTTTCTCTTAACATAGTCATATCTCCTTTATTTGCAACTCTGCAATTGAAATACCTTTGGGTAGTGGTAATTTGCTGTAATTATTCTACAAATATTTCTACTGTTAGGCACATTTCTGAAGATATGGCAATTGGATTTTAAAGTACTCCTCCTAAAACTTAAGTGAGGTTAAAACTGACACAGTTTTGTGTATCCAAAAGCAGGTAATTGAAATTGCCAGTGACCTGAATACCTTAGTCTTTGCATCAAGGATTCCCAGCTGGAGATACTCCATTGGCATCAGGAAGCATTAATATTGGAGCACAGGATTTCTTGTGGCATAAAGCCAAAACTTTGGTAACCCAAAAGGCTGTGTATTGTTACTAAACTGAAAGTGCATTTAACCCCCCCCCCCCCTTTGATACAACCACTACCACTTTTCAGAATGAATGTTAAGGAGATTATGCAACTGCTGCTGATTTAGTCAGCTCAATGACTAAGCATGTTCCATTTTTTCATAATGAAAAAACACAGAGATAGATGCATTGAGAGTTCTCAGTTGAAAGCAGGGCTAACTGGGTTTGGAAATAAACCTAGTACGGCTTCCTCCCTGCTTCCACAGTTTGCTGAATTTTCTGCTGTTACTGCCAGAAGGGAAAGCCAGCATTAGAAAGCTGAGGAGAGAAAGATGATCTTATTTTTATAGGCATTTGCAACAGTATTTTCCTGTTTTTCTGTGATTAGAAGCTTGGGCTTGGTTGGTTTTGGGTTTTTTTTTACATTTAACTGATTCTTCCTTATCATGGTCTTTTATAGTAAGTTGCCTCCTGTGTACTGAATCCATATTCAGTTTTATTACTTTTATCGCAATGATTTCTTTCCTGTTTAGCCTTTATTTATTTATTGCTTGTTTTTATGCCAAATTACTATCCTTTCCCTTAGCTGCCTACCAATTCAGGTCTCATTTATCTGTAGCTCTCCTCTGCTCTGAAGAATCTTTCTTTTCTGCACAGCTGATTTTCTCTTGTGGTCATTCTGGCCTCCCCTGTTGGTTACATTCATATCATAAATTGTAATTGCTTTAACATATATCCCAAAATGGTAAAAGTTCTCTCATTTAGTTGAGCTCTATATTCACATTCTAAATGTATTTTTTGCTCCTTGTGCAGTTTCTTACTCCTTTTTGAGCAACCAGTTTATCAGGGTAGACATTACTACAGCCTTTGATGGAGAAATACCTCTACAGAGACTTTGGTGCAGCAGTAGAAGAGCTCACTAAAAGAGTTGCTTGCAGCATTCTTGCAGGAATTGAAAAATATGTTTTAGCCTTCTTATATGGCTAAAATATATATATAATCACCATTATATGATACTCCACCCTACTCTACTGTACTGTAATTGCTACCATTGCTAAAATGTTAAATACATTTGGTAAACATAAGATAAATGCGCCAATTTCTACTACTGACAAAAACCAGATTTACTTCCCTGTTGGCTGTGAGTCAGGTCCCTTTGGCAGTGATGGTACACAGTTGTTGAATGTTAGAAATAAAGAAATATTTATGATCTAAGTCATGGCAGGTGATGATGGAGGGTCAGGTTTTTTCCTTACTGATGTGGATTTGTTTACATGTGAAAGGATGGAGGGAGACTATGGGGGTGGAGTTATGCTGAGGGGATATTGAAATTGTACGGAAACTGTATTTTAGTCTGCTGCTTGTGATTTATACTAATGTATGTAGTAGCTGCAGAAGGAGGGATTTTGGAGGTGTTCCGTATGGTTTATCATACGATTTCAGCTAGTGCAGAAAGGAATGAATAAACTGAATGACAGGCATGCTGCTTCTGTCCTACTTCTGCCATTTCAAACACTTCTGGTTTTGCCCATTTTAGACCAACCTTGTGAAGCTGCTCTTGATGCACTGGGCAAATCCCAGTCTTCTTAACTGCAATAATGAAAAGCCTTCAGGTAGGTGAAAATCCATGTATATTACGTATGTACGAGTTACTGTGACACAGTTTTCTTTCCCTCTTGTTTTCTTAGTTATACAGACAGATGCACACATATATGTGTACGTATATAGTTTATATAGTGTGTAGAGTTACATACACATTTGCATGTGTGTATATATGTTTTTTCATATATTACTGAAAAGTGCTAGTTGTGATCGTGCAGGATGTCATATCAAATGATAGCATGTTCTTCCATGTGTTCCATTCCCTGTTTAGTTATGTTTCTTCCTTGTAGGTTCTTCAGTGCCTTGGTGGCAGCTGCATTTACACTTCCTTGGTGACTTCTTACTGAGTTCCTTTCTCTGTCTCAACTGATGATAGTACATAGCCCTCATGAACTGGATTCTCTATAGCTGTTTGCTGAAAACAAATTTCACCATCCAGTTTTGAACTGCAACACCTGTTGTTTCCCACGAAGAAAGCACCTTCTTAGACCAGATAGCAACAGGGAGCTGAAGCAGTGGCTCTAAAGATAATAGAATTACAGACTATATTAGGTTAGAAGGGACTTGAGAGCAACTGGTCTAACCCAGTGATCAAAGCAGAGCTAATGTCAGTAATGGTGGATAGCAGTGTTGAAAAGAAGAAACATATGGTTGTTCAATCTTCTATGCCCAGGATAAAATGAAGAACGAATCCAGTAATGTAGAAAATAGAATCTTTCTGTCAGATTATGAGGAGAAACTTCCTTTGCATAGTAAAGCAAGATATGTTATGCTTCAAATAATGTACCACCTACAAATACATTCACAAGGAACTCCATGACAATCTCAGAAAAGATGATTGTGGTTAGATGCGTGCCAGTTCGTATTTGTATCAAAGGCTATGGACTAAACTGAGATCATCTAACAATACAGCTAGCTAACCACATGTAGTATGTATTTAACACAGTTGAGTTAACTGTTTCTGGTCTGCAAACACAACTGATTTCAGCGCTTCTGTATGTGCAAGACGGATAAATCTAGTTTGTAGAAAGGTAAAAGGTTTCAAAAGGATTTAAATACATGTTTGTGTTGAAATACAGAGTTGAAAACAGTTGTATTGTTTTTCCTGAAGTCCTATAAATTATTGAATAATACTTCGGTTCTCTACACAATGAGAGTGGTTTTGAGGTCTTGCAAATGACAACTTAATTCCATACTTAATTTACTTAGCCTTTGTTTTACCAGTAATTTCAAGTATTATTTTATGATCAATATCTGAGCAACTGCTTTCATTTTATCTAGCTGGATGCTTATTCTTAATCTGATCTAGAGATTTGAAAATAAAGTTTTTCTGCACTGTTTTATTTGTCTGATATCTTGGTGTTCCAATGTCTTAGATGTTGCAGCTTCTGAGTTTATTGAGGAGATGCTTCTGAAGGCTGAAATTGTTTGGGAGGAAAAAATGAAAGACCCTTTAGCTGTTTCTACTTTATCTCAAGAAGAGCAATACGAAGAGATCATCCATGATCTGCCCACAATTTCCAATAAACTGTAAGTGTTTCTGTTGTTAAAGAGTTATGCACTGAGGCCAGATTATCATTTGAAATGTATTTGTCAATCTGTGAATCCTGTCTATGTGTCCTTGGAGACATTCAAAACCCATCTAGGCATCATCCTGGGCAACCAGGTCTATGTGTCTCTGCTTGGACAGGGGGTTGGACCAGATGCCTTTTAGAGGTCCCTTCTGACCTCAACCATTCTGTGATTGATTCTGCGTGATTTGATGGGTCAAGTAACATTTTCATTTTGGAAATCTGCTGAATCATCTTCTGTGTTAGTCTCTCTCATCTCTTTTTCTCAACCTTAATTGTATCGATATAGACTATAAGTAATGAAATACATTGCTATAATGGCCAGTAAAATTATCTGGCATAGCCTTAGCAGATTTATTAGGGGTTAATACTGTAGACCCAAATGTCCTTTTATTAAGGTAAATGGGAATAGTGTAGTAAAACTACCATTGCTTATGAGAGAAGCAGGGACAAGTCCTGAAAATAAAAATAATATGTGCAATCACAGATAAAATTATACAGCTCCAGGCAGTTACAAATTTGTTGTCAGATTTGTACTGCTTAAAATTCAAGTGGAATTAAGTAGAATTTAGCAATGTGAACTTAAAATTTGGTACTGAACTGAAGAGTCAATTTGTGTCTTAAATTGTAAACTTTGATCTTTTTGTATTTTCTTGTGAATCTTAAGAGAAGACTGTCATGGGTATGTGAAAAGAGGTGTAAAATAGGTATGAAGCATTAATGGCAGTTTTATGGTAGTGCAAGACATACTGATTTCTCAAATTCTTATTTCTAGATACTGTGATCCATGAGAATTTTAAAAGGCATAGATAATGTCTGTATACAGTATGCAGTTGCTGTGTATTTGAAGTATGTTTGTTGCATAAGCTTGTGAAATACTGACGTTAATTTTTCTTTAACAATCACTGGACTGTATGTGAGAAAAAAATAAATAAAACCTGTTATAAAGAGAGAGACAAGATGTATATGCTTCCATTTCATACTAGTTATAATTTATGGTCTGCAGAATGTATCTGGATACATTAAAATTCGGAAGAAATGAGCAATTGTCCTGAAATGATCAATCCGTTAAATTCAGAATTCCATGAGATGTATTTATATTTTGTAAAGATTGCATATTTAATGGATAGTAAACATAGTGTGTTGTTTCTGCTTCATGATTTGTAGTTACTACAGTACGTAGCTGGGTTTAGGACACATATGTTTATGGAATTACTGATTTCTCATGCCTGTTAATTCCTTACAAAATAAGCAGCCCTCTGGTCTAACCCACTGTTTCAATAACTTTAATTATACTCCTGAAATTTATGTGGCCTTCAACTGTCTTTTAAGTGAAAAAAAGAATTTTGAGGTATGAAGCTAAAGCTTTAGATTCTCAAATATAAAAAAACCCTTTATTTTTAATTATTGATAAAAGTAGTAATACCAGAAGTAGAAGGTAAGTCACTCCTGTAACTCTGTAATGATGGCTAGCAAAAGAGTTATTCTTAAAGGTTTTAGAGACTGTGAGAACTTTTTCATTGTTCTAGCATCTACATTATGCATTTCCATGTGGTTTATAGTCTAGAAGTTTGTGCTGTGGTGCACATATTGTACTGGATACTGTTCTTTGGTGGTAAAACGCATCGACCTCTGGAATACCTGACTTGCACACAGTAGAAGTGGTCTGAAAATATTCTTTGTCTACACTTTCCTTCCTTAAATACATGGATGAAGAGAGCTACTTTTTTGAGAGTTTTCTATATAGTGACCTGCCGTGGGTGAAGAACTTCACTGGAAGTTTTGGAAAAGCAAAGCCCACTGAATGGAAAAACAAAGAAAATGGATTTACATGTGGAATTGGGCTGAGTAACCTCTTTAGCATCTATTGGCAACCAAGTTCCAGTGTGTGGCTGCAGCTAGTTGTGGTGCCTACATGAGAACACAGTACTAGGTCAAATGAAAGATCTGTTTAGCACTGTGCACTGACTTTGACAGTGGTCCATTGCAAATAGCTAGGGACCAGTTACAAGGATACGGTAAGCTTGAAGTAATGCCATTTCGGCACGTTCTTGAGACTTTCAGCAGTCTTAGGTTTACAGACTTCCTAAGCTGGAGCTTTGTACTAACTAGCTATCAGGAGAGTATCAGCAAACTTGCTGGCCAGCCAGCAATTCTGAGGTAGGAGAGCTCTTGGAAGGCAAAAATACTGGTGTATTTTGCCCATGCATGACTCAGCTATCACTACTGAAGATGTGGAAAATTGTGAGTGAACCATACCACACTGTTTGCAGAATTCCATTTCACTTAGAAATTCATTAATCTTAATTTATAGTTACCTGAAAATCAGGTGTCATTTCAAAGCTAGTTATCTCAGCTCTGTAGTCACATGCTTGTTCAACAGTGAAATCCAAAACCTTACAGAGGGTTATTCTTCCATATGATAGTAGACATATTCTTAAGATATACTGAATTATTCTCCAGAGTGCCTCCAGGCTGCTTATTGGAGAGGCAGCCTAGATGACTGGTTTCAACCAAATTTTTACCTTTTCAATGGCTAATGTTGAAAGCACAGCATTTCATCCTTTGTGCTCTATGAAAGAAGTTTGTAGAGAGATGTGTAATATGCTAGGATAAAGATGAATGTCTGTGCTATTCTTGTGTACCAAACCAAATTTTGTAGTGCTGCAAGGAGGCATGCACAATAATGACGCAGATTTACCATTGCTTTATTCTATATTGTGTCCGTTCTCCATCAACTCCTGACATAAGGAAGTATGTTTAAACTAAAGTGATAAGTTTAACAAGAATTCATGTAACTCTATGTTGTGGCCATACTGCTTTGTGGCCATCTCTCAGAACAGAACAATATTCAAAAGCAGACTCAAAAATTATGAACAAACAATTATGAATAGTACATGCTCTGTCAACAAACCTAATTTTGCTGGTTCTAGATTAAATTACAGTAGTGATTTCTGGAAGAACACCATGAAGAGATGAATTGAAGGTCAGTATCTTTACTCAGGTAGAAAAAAAAGTTTAGCAGTCAGTATGTTTGTGTTATGCTGGGTTATCAAGCAGACCTGGTTATCTTTAAGCAAGCTTTGGGTTAATCCACCTGAATTCCCATTATTGTGAAGCACTAACTGTATTAGAATATTTTTTCCTAGCTCTTCCACCAAGCTACTGAGTACTTTTGTCTATCTGATTTAGAAGAGGTGGACTAGGAAGGTAACTGTGGTGGCTTGGCCCTAGCTGGCATGCAGTGAGCTGCCTTTCTCACTCGCAAACTGCTCCCCACCACCCCAGCGGGATGGGGAAGAAAATAGGAAGAACAGGGCGAAATAGGCTGAGCTTGGGAATTTGATTTATTGCCAATTGATATAAATATTTGAATACCAATTTGGATATCAGGAAGCAAAACCAAAAAAGGAAGCAAACATTTATATGCTTAGGGTAAACGTCTCCCCCCGTCCCCCCCTTTCTGAAGCTCAACTTCCCTCCAAGCACCCCTTCTCTTCTCCCTTGTAATTGCTGCAAGTTACAGTTAATCCCTTCAGTGAGGTGGCGCAGGGTAGGGTTGCAGTTATTTCTCTCTGCCACTCCTTCCTTTGTGCTCTTTTCCTGTGCTTCAGCGTAGGTCCTCCACAAGCTGCAGTACCTTCAGGGGCATACCTGCTCCAGGGTAGCTCCTCCCAGGGCCACAGTCCCTTCAGGGAAATATCTGCTCTGGTGTGGCCCTGTCTGTGGGCCGCAGTCCCTCCTGGGGCGTACCTGCTCCAGCACGGCTCCTCCATGTGCCACACAGGAAAAGAGCAAGAAGGAAGCAGTGGCAAAGAGAAATAACTGAAGTCCTGTCAGGGGGTGGTGGTGCCTGCTCTGCCATGGAGCACCTCCTACTCCTCTGACTTCGGTGGTCCCTCTTTTGTTTCTCAGTCTTTTTGTTCCCTCTTCCTCTCTCCCTGTGACATTTTCTGCCCTTTCTTAAATATGTTTTCACAGAGGTGTCACCAGTTTGGCCAGTGCGCTCAGCTGTGTCCTGTGGTGGGTCCATTGCGGAGCTGGCTGAAACTGGCTGTGTCCAGCATGGCGCAGTGTGTGGCCTCTTCCCACAGAGACCCACCTGCAGCCCCTCTGTTACCAAAACCTTGCAACTTATGCCCAGTGTGGTAATTTGCAGGAAATGCGCTTTGCTCATTGCATTATATAAATTTTAACAGCATCTCATTACAAGGATTTACAAATGTGTTTGTGATGTACCATTAATTAATGCATTGCCAACTTATCTGAGTGTTTCTTACTGTTTTGCAAAAGTATTATCATTTGTGAATAAAATGGAGGAACCTGGCCCATGAAAATGGGTGTCAGTAGAGGCCAAAAAGTAGGAAGTTGGTTTCGTATTGGAGACCACATGGTCACATAATTGACATTTGTCTTTCCTTTCTGTTACCAGTATGAGTTTCTTCGAAGGTTGACCAAGTAAATTAGGTAAAGGAGAGAATTTTATTAACGTTGTGAGGTTTTTTAAAGGTTGACCAATGCAGCAAACCTAAGGTCTATGCTGGAAAATTTTGCCAGTTTTATTCTAATGGTACATCAGAAGAAATACTGTTACTCTGCTGGCAAAAATACTTGCACCAGAACACATTAATTGACATAGCTTATACTTCAGGAAATTAAATTGGCCATATCTGCTTAAAGGTGACTTCACGTTCATGATATGGCTGCGATATCACCACTGCCCTTCTAGTTCAGTACATGTACTTGCAGAATTTTTCTTAGTGAACAGTCCCTGAACATACAGATAGTGCAGTCACCTAGATAGTAATAAATACTAAAAAATTAGGAACTTATTCTCAAAGTAATGCTAACTTCATCAGATTATATATTTTCTGATACATATTTAAGTAAGTAAAAATTAATTGTAGTGGATGTATTTCAAAATCAGCAGAAGAATGTGAAGTAAAATATACATAGATATGTTCAAGACAACAAAGCAGAAAAGAGGTTACATTTTTCTTCTTACAGAACATTTCTATTTAACCATTGATGTAGCAACTTGCATTTCAATTCTAGTGGTTTTAAACACTCTTCTAGTGTTTAATCCATTCTGAAGTTTCTGTCATGTAGCTTTAAAAAGTTTCTTAGACTGAAATTTCGGAGATTACACAGTTCACAGATGTTAACTGGCTTAGAAATTGTTTGGAGGATCTCAGAATTGCCTGTGGAGGAATTACAGTAACAGAAGTTCTCTTCAACAAAAGCTATAAGCTCAAAGAACCCATGAAAATGTCATTGCAGAATCTGCCTTGATATAATTCTTTTTATAATATCTTTCTACCAAGTTAGAAGCTGCAGTAGTGTTTCAAATAATTGATGATAAAACTGCCAATTATTTGATTGTCAGCTCCCAGGTTTTTGTATGATTTCTTTTTTCTTAAAAAACAAGCACATGCTGGAGGATGGCAACTTATAGAAAATGATCTCAGTTTATCTAACACACACCCTCCCCCCCCACCCCCCCCCAAACTTCAGGTTAATTCCATATATGATGGCTTACACATGCCAAAATTAAAATGACAGTTCCTCCATATAACATGCAAGATTTTTTTTCCCGGTTAGATATGCCAGTAGCAACAGCCCTATCTTGCTCAAATAAGATTACCCTAGATAACTCTCCTTCCTGTCTATTATGCAACATTATTTTGGCTTAAGTCTCCCTTTGTGGTTAATTATCTATTAATTATCCATTAATTTTCATAAAAGAAGACAGTTCATGCTAATCCACTTGCCTTCATTAACATAAAATCTTCCCTTGCGCTGTCCTTCAGTTTTCAACGACATTGCTTGGCTTCATCTTGTGACTAATAGAAATACATATGAATGTTAATAGAAATATTTTTCTAAAAAGCCACTGTTTCTGGAAACATTTTATTTTAGTTTGTTTGATTTTTCAGTGTCTTCTTGAATCTGACTCATAATGAACTGTTGGAGTAATTTTAATATGTTTTTTCTTTCTTGTAATCATTCACATTTTTGTTGTAATATGAATTATATGTCAGCATTTCCATCATGTAAAGTCCTGTTTAATACCTCACAAATGCACATAATTTATAGGCTATTCTCCTGTACATCAATACAGGGAACACACCTGCTAAGTCATGTTATTATTGTCCTCTTAAGTTCAGAATGCATCTGTGAAAATAGTAGGCACTTTTTTCCCCCACGCTTTGCTGTGATTTACAACCTGCTTCTCTTTTGTGACACCTGAAAAGTTTATTTGGTTGCAAGGAGTTTACAGCTGAATTTTAAGAAGTGTTTCTAATGTGTGTTGTATAGTTAACACAGAAGTGGTAAGATTAAACGGGTAAGGTTCAACTTCACAGCAAAAAAATCCTGGATCTTCACAATTTAAAAGAAACATTACATGAATAATAAAGTTGTAAGTGGCAGTGTTTTGTTTTTTAATACTTGAATTCATTTGGCTTATGCTTTTCTTCAAATCTTTCTTCTCTTTGTGATTAAATCATAAAAATAATTCAGACCAAAGGAATTTGAGCAGTTTTGGACAATAGCAAAAGACTACTCAAAAAAACCCCTTCATATTTAATTATGTTTTGTTCAGTTCTGAGTCTGGGTAAAATGTGAAATAGTATTAGTCATTTGTGCTTGTGGGTGTCACAGCTATTTAATTTCTTCTACAGTCTCATTGCTGATATATCTTATCCTATGACATCTAATTGCCGAGTTCATGAAAATAGTTGGATAATGCCTTTTTTTGTCCTGCAGTCCAAATCAAGAAAAAAGGCAAAGCGAGTTGGCTCTTGGATCTTTTGTCCACGTGACATTTTGTAAACAAATTTATGATAAAATTATCTTAGGTGAATCAAAGCAGTAAATAGAAATTTTTATTTTCACTAGTGTTCCTATAGACTTTTTATATTAAAATGTCTGAAGCAAAACATCATTAGAAAGGAAATTGTGTATATATCATTACAAAATGTTGAAAATTTCAGTGTTTGCAGACCGAGGGTTTCATCAAAAGAAAGGTTTTGTCAACTACTTTGACTTGCTTTCCAATGAATTCTGCTTAGAAGGTGCTTTGCCTCTGCTTGGGACTGTACCTTTCTAAAACTATGTTTGTGTTTCAGTTCTGTTTCCGATGGCAGTTCTTATCCTGAATTGAAATCGGTGTTAGCTATGGGTCCTCCTTAATTTCATTTAACTGTGCATATAATCCTGGCGTTATTATAATCAGTGATCAGACTCGTGTAACAGAGTAAAAATGAGTTGGGTTTTTTTTGTTGTTTTTTTTAACTAACTTTGACATCTGGGCTTTATCTCATAGTGGAATGCACTATTCGCGCATCCCCACATCGAGTCCACATTTCCTTTCAAAGAAATTTTGTGCACATTTTGGCAAGGAGCTGTTGTATGCTCCATGAGATTGTCTCATTTGCACTGTCAGAGGCCAGACGATTATTTTTTAAGACGGTTTTGTTCTCAGCTCCTGGGGCTGATTCCTTGCTAATTCTTCTGTATGTACAACACTGCCAAAATTACCCAAGATTTTGGCATTGTTGTTTTTCAGAAGTGTGATATGGTCTGAAGTGTCAGTAGGGAAAACAACTGTATGCGTGTAAGAATAGGTTTAACTTACGTGTGAATGAAGAGTATTGTGTATTGTTGCAGTAATTTCAGGACTCTGCTGTTTGCTTGGGTTTTTCTTTAGCGTATCACATTCAGAGCAGCTTTTGGTCATGAAATATATCTTGGGTATTGCCTGATTAAAAGTAAGCTAAAAAGTGGTGGAATTTAATTATAATAACCGCAGTGGCAGTATCTGTATTGAATTACTTTAAAACATATTATTTTTCAAAACAGTGTTGCGTAGGTTAATGGTGTATTTTAAATTCTGTTTCAAAATTGGCTATTGATTTGCCAGCCTAGTGCTGTCAAAAGCAGACACATGCATATTCTCTTTGGCTTGCTCAGTTCTGCTTCAGAAAAGATATGTATAAAGGTGAATTTTAAATCAAAGTGTTTTGCTTTGTGTCCTTGGGAACAGACTAATCTATGTGAACAGTTCATTTCTCACCAGTTTCTTTTTTGTACTTCGACCAGGAACTTGTGTTTCAGCCCTGAATTGTATCCCAGTTCTGTTTGTGCCACCCACGTTTGGCAATCTTTTGTCTGTCTGACGTCTTCAGGAGGTGTCTGATTGCTTTATTGATTCTCTTTGTAGCAATCCCTTGGCTTTACCGATTGCCAAGCAAGACAGTTTGCTGGAGAAAGACACCATGTTTAAAGATGCAGCTAAAGGCTTATGTAAGCAGCAATCCCAAGACAGCGCATCTGAAAATGTCACTGTGAACACTACAACCAAACTTGAACAGGTAACGGCATGCAGTTTCTTGAAATGTTTGCTAGCGCTTAGGTCTGGAAATTGTAAACTTAATGAAGTCAAAGACCATAGTAATTTTTTCCCCTTACCATGCAGCAATATCATTTGCACTGTGGAGCCTTATCTCCGTGATCACTCCCTGCAGTCAGCCTGGCCCTGCAAAGAGCTCCGGCTCTGCAAATGGAACAGCTGCTCCTGCCAGCTGCTGGTGGTAGGTCAGGGGCTGTGGCAGTCAGAGGGCTCGGAGCTCCTCGGACTCTACTCATGGCTCACAACAGGGGAGGGACAACTCTTAACACTGCCTGAAGTGTGCTCTTGTCTCCAACTTGGGTTTATAAAGGAAAGAAACACGACCTGGGAGACTGCAAAAACAAAGAGAACGTCTAAGAAATATTAAGTTGCAAAATAAGTGACTGTAATTTAAAGATAGGAATTGCCGGATTTACAGCTGCAGTGCTAACTCCCTTTCTTGTGCTAATGCATGAGGATACAGGCACTGATTATTTGGATACCTGTTACAGTTTTTTCCACAGGATCACAATCTCAGTGTATAGGGTGAACGCAAAAGGGGGCAATTATCTGTTACTTGTAAATCTAGCATGTCCTAACTTTGAATGTTTAGGACTTAAATATTGTTTGGGTTGTGGTGGGTTTTTTTGTGGTGGGTTTTGGTTTTGTTTTTTTTTTTACAAGGGGTTTTATTTTCTGTTACATGCATTTGGGAAACACTCCAGAAATATTTAGCCATTTAAGAAAAAACTACTTTAGAATTGGGGGGGTGGAGGGGAGAATTTCCATTTAAAATAATTTACTGTGAATTTGAAGCTTAACAAAGCGGGAAGATAGTGGTTACATTTAAACCATGTTCAGTTAAACCTACATAACTGCCTTGACAGAAGCGTGCACACTCCGCTGCTTTTTTTGAATGTGTTTCAGAGGAAGGTGTTCATCATACAAGATCAGTCAGTGAGTTGCATGTCAATCATATGAGTCCATCTCTGAAAGACCTCACCTTTGGAATCCCACAGAGCACTGGGTTCCCTTTTCAGTCAGAAGATACCACAAAGGGTTTTGCTTTTGGCTTACATCTTGTTTTGCATGTCATATAATTTCTGGCCTGGCTGACTGTGCAGTGATGTGATGAAAACAGTCAATCCAAAACAGAAGCACTGCTGGTCAGAAAAGTAAGTGCAAGTGCTTGCAACCCTACTAGGGGGAACTGTCCTATAATTGTAGGAAAACAGAGGGAGGTGTTTAGCTTAGGGTCTTGTTGAGATGATCACTTGCTTTTAGATGTTCAACAGGAGTGCAGACAAGAACATATGTACTTACTTCTGCTTGATTCTGTTTTGGTGCAGACCTAGCTAAAGTTATTCCATTTTTCATTATCCCTAGGCTAAACTTTTGCTTTATGGTTTGTGCAGTAAAACATATGCAGAGACTGATTGGAAAAAGAACAGCTAATCTTGCTGGTGAGAAGGAGCAACCAGAGGTGTTCATGGTTGTAGTTTTGTCCTCCACCATGATCCAGAGTCACTTCAGGGTCCCAGGGCAGAATTTCAAAACTTTAATCCTGCTGTTTCACTATACTTCAGTGGAACTTCCATCAATAGTTGTAATTCAAAGACAAGACAGCAGAATTAAGGGTGAATCTCTTTTAGCTCCATTAGCTGAGAAATTTCTGTAGAAAACACTCTGTGAAATTCTGGTCTAAATGAGCTAGAAGGGGCGTGTATCTTACGGTCTTTCAGAAGCAGTAAAAACTACAAACCTTGGCCAGTATCTGCAGTTGCTGAATAAGGAGTGATGCTCCCTTGGAAAAGAATAAGCAGGAACAGTGTTATGTGGGAAATCAGCACTAACAAGGGATAGGTTAGAAACCGTGCTATTCCAGTGTGTTTTTAAATGACTGGTTGCATTAAGAAAAAAAATCATAGATTAACACAACTTTTCAGTTGGCAAGGGCTTAATAAGCTTTAGCTCTTAGGGACAAGAGAGGGTAAAACAGTTTAATCACTTCAGGAAATAGTTTAATTTTAGTAAACTAAAGAATTCCCATATTTTGTCAAATGAAAATATGAGCTTTTTTCTTTTTTAAAGTGACATAATTGTGATTCTGGAAGTACGGGGATTGTATTCTAGACTACTTGCCATGCATTATGAACTGTAGGTATATGTATATCATGTCCATATTTGTGTACATAACATGTAGATCTTAGTTTTCAGAGATGATATTTCCAAGTAACACTTTTTTTTTCTTCTTTTTTTTTTCCACAAATTGGGAAGTGAAATTTTTATTTAGTGCTTATACCAAAGGAAAGCTTTGAACAACTCCTTCCCACTATCCCTGCCTCTTGGGTATACTAGTTCTAATGAGTTTCACTATCTTTTATTCTTACCAGTTGTGTTCCAAACTACACTCAAAGTAATCATGTTCTGTTTAATTTTTCAATAGGATATGTGGAGCCATTACTTGGATTTTATGTTCATAAATTATTGAAATAGATCAGCATGATATTTCGTATACTTTATGTCAGAAATATCATACTTTCTTAGGCAATATGGCATGCGGATTAGGCCTTTATTGGGGATCAGAGAGAAAAATGTCATCTTACTACATCTGAAATATGCTTTTTTAATAGAGAAAGCTCATAACTTTTTTAGCTTTGAGAGAACTAACAGCTCAAATTTATATGTAGCCTCAGGTTTTTTTTAATTGCAAAAATGATGAAAAAGAGCCTTAGCAAAATATTATTTCTCATGAAGTAAGATTTTTATTACATGATGCATAGGAGATGGGGATCAGATGACTACATCGATAAAGCATTTTGGGTCTCTCTTGGCTTGTATTAGCTTTTGCTTTTTCCTAGGTAAAAGATGTTCTTTGATCATCTGTAATGTCAAGGTCTGTGCTGCCAAACAAAGAAAGCAGTATGAATAATTTCCAGAATTTTATCATAGCTGGCAATTTCTCTTCCTCTCAGCTGGGAAGGGATTTTTTTGATAGCAGATTGAAATTACTGGCCTGGAAGTGAATTACGTGCTTTATGCTACAAAAAAATATAGATTAAATCTTTTCTTTTTCTTAATTGGGTCTTTCTTAAAACAGTATTTTGTCTTTGTCTTATAATTCTTGTTTAGATATTGTTGGCCATCTGAACTGCGTGATAGAGTGTCCCCTGATGCCCTTTTGATTGTTCTAGTATCACTTACCACATACACAAGGGACAACCATGTATATCATAGTATTACACGTATGAGCTAGAATGCATACTTATTTCAGTGACACAAGTACATAAAAAAATAAAAATCATTAGAGATTATTATATGAACAGATTGTGAGTGCTGTTAAGTGTATGTAATTTAAATGAGTAAATAGGAATCTTCATTGTTAGCATTACAAAAATCTCAAAAACTAATAACTTCCAGAGGCATAGTTGTATTGGAACTTCTGCTGTATTTATGGCTATTTTTCTTTTATGTCTTGTAAAGTATGCGTCATGCAATCAGTATAATAGCCAGATACACACATCGAGGTGAAAAAATAGAGAAAACTCACCTGTATGCTCAGAAAAGTAGATGAGAACAGAATTTGAAGGTGCCCACAAATAAGTTATTAATAATGTAAATAATGTTTACTACCAAGTCAAATTTGTTGTGAGTCTAAGGCATTTAGAGTTCTTATTTCTATGTGATTTATTTGCTCATTGAGCTGTGAATTTTGATGCAAGGAGTCTGTTAGAGAATGCTGAATCACCAAATCCTAAACTTGGTAGGAAAAGAAAGTTGATGGAAAAAGATTTCGATTCCCTTACTTGGAGTTTAACTGAGCACTTCACATCTCTGACCATCTATCCATAGAGTCAGCATCTCTGGCTATACCTAGATTGTGAAGTAAAAACAAGCCCAGGCCTGTTCTCTGGGTCAGTGCACATCTGTAAGACAAAACTCTTTTCTCCCTTGAAAGATAGGGCCGTGCCCAAACAGCCTATGGGAAAGGACCACTGGTATGTGACCTGAATGATATCCAGGTATTATCTGCATGAGTGCTAGCTGGCATGAGCAAAGAACGTACAAGGAGGTGTGCTAACAATTCCCAGGGCAGTGCTTGAATCCAAACCCTTCTTTTATTTACAAATTAAGACATTAGTCTCTAGCCTAGCATAAATTTAATCTTTGTAGACATAGATTAAGAGAAGCTCATTCTCTGGCACACATGTTCCAAGTTTTGATAGCACACAAGGAAGTATAGTGAAGACCTATGCCTGCTTTGTTCCTGCAAGCCAGGTGAGCACACTGATAAGGGAAGGAGGCCACAGGCTTCTTTCATCTGCTTTCCCTCTGTAAGACACTTAAGTTCTTGGAATATCTTTTGTTCATTTTGTTCTATTCCAACGTGCATCATCAAAAACAAATGTTAAAACATAATTTACTTTTTTTTGCCAAGTGGAATTCTTGTTTTCTAGCCAGCGTTACATCCAAGTGCCATGATTAAAAACAAAAAGAGAAAAGAAATGCCATCTTCTGTGTGACAGAAAAATCTGCATTCACTTCAGTGGGGTGAGGAGTAAACTTCTAGAATAGGTAGAAGGACACAGACAGATATAGCAGGCAGCCTGTGTATGTCTGTATTATTCAAAACTCATGTTCTGAAAATACTAATGTTTTAAGAAGAAAGTAATTTAAATAGGAGAAAAGAGAATAGTCACAGTAGCATTTTGGTAGACTCCACCATTTATTGGTTTTTGGACTCAGTGGAATGAGAGGTTTTTTCACATTTTTTATGGGGAAAAAAAGGAAAGAGAAAGCATTATTGAAGTGTGATTAGGCACTACTGCCTTCTTGTCCTTGTACATCTATGCAGCTAGTACATGTAGAGTTACTGTTGTAAGGTATGTTTTCCTTACAATTTTATGGATTGCTACTTTATCTGTGTAGTTCAACATCTGTTGCAGATGGAATGCAGTTTAGATGCCTGCCTTTCCTGTTTTAGTGGATGAGTGGAAGAACATTGAAAAATCTCTTGCTGATATTCATGCTGTTACATGCATATGAGGTTTACATATAACATTTTAGTCGTCAACATCTATTGCCTGCTGGTATAGCTGATATAAAAAGGAGACAGCTTTCTGTGAGGAGCTTACCTGTTTCCTCATATACTTGTTTTAAGCATTGTTTTCTACTGCATGTCTTTAGAGGAATAGTAAGGAAATGATGAAAGACTAAAGCAGAGATCCTCAAAATTTTTCCAGTCACTGTGTCAGTCCCAAAATGGAAGTTTTTTGAAGCCCCCAATATTATTGTGAGAATCTCCAGGACAGAGCTATTTCAAGAAACAAAAATGCAATAATAGCTATAGTGCTTGAAGTAGAGAAAAGAGTAGAAGCGTGCCCACCATAGATAGAAGGTACTGCAGGCCTCTGGGACTCAACAGAAGCTGGGACCTTGCAAGCCCTGCTTACATATGCCTTTCCTCTGTGAGGAGCTATGGCTTCATACATAGAGTCATTTAGGTTGGAAAAGACCGTTAAGATCATTGAGTCCAACCGTTAACCTAGCACTGCAAAATCCACTGCTAAACCGTGTCCCTAAGCACCACATCTACGCGTCTTTTAAATACCTCCAGGGATGGTGACTCCACCACTTCCCTGGGCAGCCTGTTCCAATGCTTGATAACCATTTTGGTGAAGGAATATTTCCTAATGTCCAATCTAAACCTCCCCTGGCACAACTTAAGGCCATTTCCTCTTGTCCTATCACTTGTTATTTGGGAGAAGAGATTGACCCCCACCTCGCTACAGTCTCCTTTCAGGTAGTTGCAGAGAGCAGTAAGGTCTCCCCTCAGCCTGCTTTTCTCCAGGCTAAACAACACCAGTTCCCTCAGCCAGTGCTGGTAACTTGTTCTCTAGGCTCTTCACCAGCTTAATTTAATTTATTACAGGCTGTGTAATATTTCTTGGAATTAATTTTGCTCTATTTTGCAGTTTCTTCAGTGGTTAAGCTTGTGTCTTATTATTCAGTACTGGAGTTAGAGGAAGACAAGAGTAGGTTGACTAGGCCTTGAACCTATGGAAACATTGGAAGTTCAGTATTCGGGATCAGTTCCCCAGTATTAAACACCAATATCTATAGTCTTTGGGGTCTTCTTGCCAGAAACACGCTCTGTATTCCCTCCAAAATCTCCTAATCTGCTTGCTGCTTCTGTCACTTGACTCGCTGCCACATGCCACTGCCAGAGGCTGAGGATGCTGAGTTGTTCTCCAAGAAAGGGCAGTGTCTGCTTTTTTCCTGAGCCTTCATCTTAAGCAGAACAATAGAGCAGAGAAATTTCATCTTCATTGTCCATCCTCAAAACAGACACTGAGAGAGTATTTTAGTAAACTTTGAACAAACAATTCAGAGGTAGGTATATTTCTAGGTATTCTGCTGACATGCAAAAAATGTTTTTCTTCAGGCTGACATAGAAAAGGAATCAACCTACATTTTAAGTGTAGATTGTAATTTATAAGCACAGTGATTAATGTATCAATATTTATTTTGTCTCTAATCAAAATTCCATTCTCATCGATTCTTTTTTATTCTGTCTCCTGTTCTGTCGTTTGGATTTTTTGTTTGTTTGTTTCATTAGCATTTACTTTGGCTTGCAGAACTTATGTTATTCCTCCTAAATCTCAGAAATGTTAAGCTTATTTCATTCACCAGTTTTGGCTAAAGTAGCTGCTTCTGAATCTCTTCTGGTCTCCTTGACAACATGATTCCCACTTCTTATTAACTTCCTTCTCTTTCGCAGGAAAATTTCTAACAGAATTTTAAATTCTGTATGATGAACAGTACTATGAGAGCTTTGTTAAATACTGGGCAATAAATAGTTCACAAATGCACTAACTTTTATATGGTCTTGATTTCTTCTGCCATAAACATTTAATGAAGAGAGCAGGGGAATAGCGTTTGAGCTGGGAATCTTTATGGGTTCTGGGATAGCAAATGGCATTCTAGTAGGGGTCTGTGTTCTTAAGAGCCCATCAGACTCATGCAGTTATACACCTTAACATTGATAATAATTTTTGATGTTCTTCTCTTGCTTAAGATTAATAATGTGTAATCGTTTGGGAGGAGTAACAACTTTCCAGTTTCCTAATGCATTTTTTCCCGTAAATTCTAGTGATCTAGGTTTATACTTTAGGTTGGAACATTATGGTACAGAACGATTGGTTGTGAAGTTACTTTATTTCTTTAATTTGTGTTTTCTAGATCAAGCTCATGCCTCCAGCTCCAAATGATGACCTGGCTTCTCTGAGTGAGCTAACAGACAGCAGCCTGCTTTATGAGATTCAGAAGCGTTTCAATAATAATCAGATATATGTGAGTTGCTATTCAGCTATCAACAGTAAGCTTTCCAAAAAGAGCAAATGAGAGAATAGGAAAAATAGGATTACTGTCATAACAACTGGACAGTAACCTGCTCTGGACTTATGACTAATATTTAAATGGATCAGGACATATATGCGTGTAAGCCCTGCAATTTCTCAAGTTTATATAGGAAAAGCAGAAATAAAAAACGGAATAACACTTCGGATAGGTTTGGAAATAATTTATGTGTGTTTATTTCACAGAGGAAGTATATTGGTAAAAATTGATAGGCACATGTAATCTTCCTTCTCAAACCACCAAAAGAGCCTTCCATCTTTAACTTTATGTTAACTTAATTTTAATAGAGCACATGATTACTAGAAATTTAAAAGAAATTTAGATTTTAAAAGCTTAGAATTCAGTGTGGGAGATTTAATCATTACCTCTTCCTATATTACAGAAATCATTCTCTATATTGTGATGTTAATCATCTAGATACCAAATGAAATAATTATAGCAAGATTTTTATAAAGCAGGTTTTCCTGGTTGTGCCGTAATAAAGTCAGGAGGCATCTGGTTAGGCGTAGATTACTTCTGGAGAAAAATCTTCACTTGAAAATTTTTGTATCCCTGTTCATATCTTACTCATAACTTACTTCTGAGTTACTGAACAGCTGAGTGGCATGTTAATGTGAAACACGCAAATTGTTTTTAAATGTATAAGTTTTTTACCCGGTTTAGACGAAAGGAATATGGGGAGTTGGCATGTTGCTGTGAATACTTTTGAAATCATGGGAACTTCAATTCTAGGTGTTATGGCATTCAATGATAATAAAAATTCTGGGTTTTAGAATCGTGTATCAAATCCTATTTTATTATGAGCATTTCTTTTCCTTTATCTCACATGCCAAACACAGATAACTAACTGAATTCAGGAGGATCCACAGATACTTAGTAAAAGGAAGTCTTCTTTTATTTTAAAATACTAAAGATTTCACGTGAGAGGATCTCATACCCTGCTCTGGCATTCTCCTTAGCTTAATGGAAATTTATAGGCAGTGATCATTTATATTCTGCTCAACAGCAGCCATTGTGCTTTGGTAGGGTGTCAGCATCTGTCGTGTTTTAACCCCAGCCAGCAACTAAGCACCACGCAGCCGCTCACTCACTCCCCCCCCATCCAGTGGGATGGGGGAGAAAATCAGGAAAAGAAGTAAAACTCCTGGGTTGAGATAAGAACGGTTTAATAGAACAGAAAAGAAGAAACTAATAATGATAATGATAACACTAATAAAATGACAACAGTAATAAAAGGATTGAAATGTACAAATGATGCGCAGTGCAATTGCTCACCACCTGCTGACCGACACCCAGCCAGTCCCTGAGTGGCGATTCCCTGCCCCCCCCACTTCCCAGTTCCTAAACTAGATGGGACATCACATGGTATGGAATACACTGTTGGCCAGTTTGGGTCAGGTGCCCTGGCTGGGCATGAGAAGCTGAAAAATCCTTGACTATAGTCTAAACACTACTGAGCAACAACTGAAAACATCAGTGTTATCAAGGTTCTTTGCATACTGAACTCAAAACATAGCACTGTACCAGCTACTAGGAAGACAGTTAACTCTATCCCAGCTGAAACCAGGACAGCATCAATGCTGAAAACCCTTGCATCTTTGGGTGATTTGGTTCTCAAAAGGAAAAGTATGTGGACTCCAATTCCAAACCAAAATCCTCCTTAGCGCTGAACACTTGCTGTTTCATGTTTCCTGAAGGCTAATAAAGTTCCATTCTGCAGGAAAACCTAACAGTGAAGTCGGGGTAGGTGAGAGAGGAGATGAATTACTGCATTTCAGAAGAAAAATAGTACCTTTACTGTAAAAGGGATTATTTTCCACCTCCCCAAATCATAATGCTTTGTTTTGAAAAACGTAGCATGACTGGGACTGTTCACATGATGGTTTGCTGTCTGACCTCTTCAGAGACAGAGGTCTGGCATTTTTGCATTATAGTAGCTGCATAATACAGCAGCAGCTACTTATGTGGAGTGAGAAGTATAGCAGCAAGGGTGACGTACAATCTTCTATTTAAGTACGTCTTTCACATATGAGTGTTTAAATACAGACTAATAAAATCTTAGCACTTTTGCAATCAGTGGATGGTGTGCTATTTTTAATATAGCCAGGGTTTTTTTTCTATATGCATGTACATATGTTTATATACACTTACACATGCATAAATACTTACATATGTATCAATTGCTCTGTCTTATCCCACAAGCAACTTATTTCAATGTATCAATTCTAGGTAATCAACACGGCATTTCTAAATCATGTAATCTATCCCATAAAAAATTGCTTGAGGAACTTGTTTATGTGGTAGGCATGTCACATTTTTGTAGTTTCACAAATGGTAAATTACAAATTAACTTTCAGATAATCTACCAATAATACATGCAGTGCAATTCTTCTATGCATAATTTTCCATTATGAAGAACTCAGTTTTATTATAAAAAGAGTAATTAATGCTGTCCAAATTGTAAATTTAGATCTCAATTTAAAGTTATGAAGTCAAAAGCTCTGAACTCGAAAATTATGTTTAATATGTTGATAGCTAGATTTAAGTGGCTTTGCCAAAAGTCCTTTCTGGAAAAAAACATTGGCCTCCTTAAAGATTTAATTTATTACTTAATAAAGCAATTATTCCTTCTTTTTTCAGACCTACGTTGGTGATATACTGTTGCTTGTTAACCCGTTTAAAGACCTTCCTATTTATTCTACTACGGTAAGCATTCTCTTTTTAGAATGTTACAGTGTGGATCTTTTTCAGTGGATTCATACAGTTCATTTGGCAGGCCAAACCCCTAAAATTAATCAACATATATATGCCCTTTTTTATGTCGGGAGCATCTTAGTTTTAATATTTTAGCAAAATTTTAAAAAATTTATTCCAAGATCCCACTATTTTTGCTGTGTCTTTTTTGTGAAACAGCCATGTTGCTAATGTTTTGTATGAGCAGTAGCACTCTGATTGTTTAAAAATAGTACCTGACGCATAACATGACCTCGGTGTTTTCTGCCACAGCCAAACTTGCAAAAATAGACGCACGCTCCACGCAGCGGTTCTTTGAGTTCACGCCTCCCTTGCCCAAACACGATTACGGAGGTAAAAACCTCGACTGGTGCAGAAGGACTCCAAATGGCTGTCTGAGCCCCGCACCAGGCCACGCAGTCCAGACACCATATGGGCAATGAGTACCAAGTGCTCGGCACAGGCGTGCACTGCACTGGGGCGGTCGTTCAGGGCTGGCTTGCGTTGGGCAGAGGGGACTTGAGGCTGCGTGTGCCCTGTTGTATGCACAAGGCCGCCTCAGCAGTGCTCCAGATGTTTCTCTCTTGAACAGTAGTAGTACCCTTACCCTTCTCGTCTTTCCGTTGTGAGACAGACTGGTTATTTACAAGGGGCTTATCATTTCAGTAACTAGACACTGATACCAAGTTAAGCGGACTTTGTAGATCAGTGGGAGTAACATAAATTCAAATTATCTGATCTCTCCTTCATCCTCACTCAGCCATTTTAGAGACAGTGTTAGTTTAACTGTTAATTTATTTCCCCCTCTCCCTGTTATTTTCTCATTGATGCACTGAGATCACATTACTGCACAGAGATCAGGCTCCCTGTTTTGTTAGGGAGTGTTCAAATACATTTACTTGGCTTAGAAGAATTATAAAGGGTTCAAAATTTGGTAAGCAAATTGTAGCCTGTGGCTGCTTGTGTTGTGTCATGTGGCTTTCTGTGTATCAGTAGTAAATTTGAGAGAAAGAAATGCTGTGACATTCAATGGCAGGAGCCGCAGATTCCAAGTTGGGAGCCTAAATTTAGTTTCTAGAAATGGGAATCATCCATTATCCCCAAGGCTTTAGATGATGGTATTTTTTCCTGTCACTGTGTATTTTACATTAGATACATGACTTTGTGTACTGAGAACTGTAAAGAAAAAGAATTCAGGCAATAGTCTTACGTATTAAAATGTTTCCTGAATATTTTCTGCATCTTCTCTTGACCTCTCTGTGATAGACCTATTGTAGCAAATTTAGCATGAGGCACTTTTTGTCCTGTAATTGTTTGGGTCACCTTGCTTTGATCATTGCTTTTACTCCATCATTATCCGCATGGTATTGTGCATTAGGCAGGTATTTCCTAGGTGATCAAAAACCCATGGTTGTAAAATAGCTTTGTTTTCTCTGTTTTTGAAATGCTCAAATACACTGCAGCAGCTTAGCTGGTATTATGTTGGAAGTCTGTAAGTGTTAGATGGTCTGTATATTAAAGCAATAAAAATTGGTGATGTCAGTTCCTCACTAGGCAGCAACATGCTGTATGATGTGGCTCATTTTTTAGCATTTTTGTTTCAGGTATGTGGTTTATTAGCTGTCAAAAAAAGAATGCAAAGATGTGTTGGGCATGATACTATTTTTAAAACCAGGATGAAGCAATGAAAAGATTATTCTGTACATTTTTCGATAATAGCAACACTTCAGGTTTTCTTCTCTTTTTTTAAAAACACTTCTTATAACTTCTTGGCAATCTTTTATTTTGTTATCCCACACTGACGTCCCACACCTAGTTCCAATAGAATACTACTAAAATAAATCTTTTTATAAGCAATTATTCACTCTGAGATGACATAAAGAATCATACGTTAATGGACACTGATACACATTTCTTTGTATGCAATTCAATGTAATTGCTAGATGATAATGCATTTTTACATGGAAATACACTGTAATACCATACTATACGTTATAGTAGCACTATACTACTAGGAACATGCAGAGACCGCTTGGAACGTATCATAGTAACAGTTCATGTAAGTGCTTGTGCTATGGTTGTCCTGCTTTGTTACATTTGTGCAGAATTTATTTGTGTCCAATTAGGGCAAATATATTCTTGAAGTTCGTGTGTTAGAAAAATCTGTAAACTTGCAAAGTACTTGCAACATCATGCAGTGAGCATGTGTGTGAAGGTTTCTCTTTTTGCTTTGTGACATGCTGAAATGATTACTTGAGAATCAGTGTGGATTTTATCTTGTTTAGTCTGGTAGCTTGAAAGGCCTGAATGAGAATGGGGCTGTATTGTGGAGGATTCATTCAGCCACACCGTTGTAGATGCCTCAAGATTCAATAGTTTACTATCTAAATAAGTAAGACAGGGGGATAGGCACCTGATTAATTTGGAAAAAGGAGCGAATACAAAATGACACTGTGGTGGAAAGGCTGTTAGAGATAATAGTTGGATAAAACAGGACATGATGGAAAGGATGGGATTTGGTTGTTTAAGTGATAGCATCCACTATCATTCTGGATGCTTCATAGTGTTCCAGTTGTACCCCAGCTGCCATGGGTTTATGTAAAGCCTGAGTTAATTTTCTAAACCCATGAAAATGTCTGATAAAAGCTATATAATAAGGTAGGTAAAATTGTTTATTTAAGGATATTTGTAAAATGGTATGGTGTTTCTGCTCACAATCTTATCTAAATCACATTCTGTATTTTCTTTATTATATTTATTTATTCTGAAAGAACAGAATTGCAGATATTCGCAGACTATCTAATTTTTCTGAAATCTTCTTGATATTAGCTGAAAGAACATCAGGATATCCTCAGAAAAAAATGAGGTTTCAGTAGCAGATAATTGGTTCTACTTATACTTAAGCTTTAAGGATAGTACGTGTTGCCAGCTACGTGTATCACAGAAGGTATTTTATGTTGCAGAGACAGTATTTGTGGGAGGCTGCTCTGTCATGTAATAAATGAATTAGCTTATAACTTAAGGCTTTGATTCCATTTTTAACTTTTCATGGGATGGTCATATTTCATTTTGTAAGATTTTAAGTCAAGACATTGAGGAACTATAAATGTGAGGTATAAAGAAGTAACTTACTAGGTTTTGTTCTACTCAGCGCACAAACCAGTATTGTTTAGTCCTCTAGTTACATTTAATTTTGTATCTTAAGTAGTTTTTCTATGCTTACACCTCTGTTTTAATTAAATCTTAATAGATACTGTAATGGTACTACTTATATACATGCAGAGATTCTGTTCATAATGCTTAGAGAGCTTTACAAAAGACCCAGGATTAGGGGGATGAAACATAATTTGAAATGTATTGATCATGTTAATTTTCTACAATTTTTCAGGTCACCCACCTTTATTTAAGTAACTCTGGAAAACTGTGTTCCTCACTTCCCCCACATATATTTTCCTGTGCTGAAAGAGCTTACCACATGCTATTCCAGGAGCAGCATCCCCAGTGCTTTATCCTCAGGTAAAAATTTATCTTTCTATTAACTAATTTGTAACTCCTGCCTTTCAGCTGTTTCCCTGAAGACTCAGCAGTTGAGATTTCCATTTTATTTTTTCCTCCAACTGATTTCTTTCTGTGTACTGATCTCTGTATCATAAGTTAGAGCAAAAGAGAACTGAAAAAGGTTTAATTACATCTCAAGTTCATGAATTATCTTGGGGAATTGCCATTCCATCTAGCTGCATCTACTTAGGAACAAAGAGTTAACGGTAAAGAATTCAAAACTGCTGTGTGTGTGTTTGCTAATATTACATGGATCAGGATTAGAAATAGAATCTAATGACAATAAAAATGGGAAGTCCTTGACTAAATTATAAATCTCTGAGTTGGGGCACCTGTATTGGCATTTCCACTCTGCCTCACATGTTTGTGTGGCCATGACTTTGTTATTTAGCTCTCCAACTTCAAATTGGACTTGACTAGTTCCTTATTCACAATGTTGTTTCAATGATAAATAACTTCAACATTGTGAATAAATGTATTCAAAATCTCCAGTGAAACAGAGTTTCATCCAAATATGCTGGTTTTACAATGGTGAAACTTTGACTTCATTTGGAACTTTGGATCCCCAGATCTGTTAATCTTGTAATTGCTCTTGAACTACTTCTAATTATAAGAAGACAATACTATGAAATAGAGAGGAAATGATACTCAAAATCAGCTAATAATGCTGTTTTAGAGTTATAAGAGTTGAAACGAACACATAAATGCAGCCATATGTATCCATTTATATTGCATTCTGTTTATGTGGATACAGACTCGAGTATCTGAAGTTCTGTACATTAAGTCTTCAAATACATCTGAATATTGTAATTAAATGTTTCTTTTAAAAGCATAGTTTATATAAAATATAGTTTATAAGTTTCTAAAATATAAACGTATAAATTATTTCTGTGTGGAACTGACTATTGATTGGTTGAAACAAATGGTAACCTTTTTATAACCTAATCAGAATGGAATAGTTACTTATCCAGTGAACAGTGACATTTAAGCAGAGGTACAAACAATGTTAAAAATCATTACTGTATGTTTATATTACCTTCTTGTAAATATTAACTCTTGTTTAGATATAGTAATTTTGATAAAAATAAGAAATAGCCTACAGCACTGTTTTCAGCATTTTCTTCAAAGTAGGAACTTGGGACACTGCTAATTGATTAATATCTTCATGGAGTTACCTGTAAGTGTAGCCAGAGAAGAAGCAGAAAATAATATTTACTAACACTTCAAGGAAAAGGCTAACTGCCAAGTATTGTGTAGCAGTAGTACACAAAGAATATTCTACTTAATAATAAATGGCTTTGATATCAGGGAATAGTTGCTACTGATGATTTCATGTCAGGATGTCAGGGCATGTGTTAAGTCCCACTGTCTTGATCCCTGCCCAGCCCACCATAGCTTATCATAAATCAGTGACCTGATGGAGAATGTGACAAGAGAGTGCTCTGTTGATAGCATCAGCACTTGGCAAGACATTTGCCTATCACATCAAGGCATATCCTTTATGTGGATAATTAATTAGATCTAAAGGTCACTTGTGAAAATGGAAGCTGCAAGGAAAGCATCTGGTAATTTGGAATAGGAGGTACGTATAGCTGCAATTTAACAGAAACAGCTAGAAACAGTTCTTTGTAAATATGTAAATACCTTTCTTCTGCTAGCACTAAATGAGAAAACAGAAGGGAATTGAGATTTTTTAGAAGTTCATAAAGAGATATTAAAAATGGGATATTCTCATTATATTAGTCCATTGTTAGAATCTAAATAATTAATGTCTGGAAAGTAAAGGTGATACAGGAAATTTCCATTGGTTTTCTGACAACAACAACAACAATAATAATAATGATAGTCTGAAAAATATCTATGATGTAACTCAAGTGATTCATCTACCCCCTTGCTGTCACCTGATCATCTGTGTGTGCATGAACTTGTGTGTGTGGTCAAAATGGATTTCTGCTTTCTTGCTATTTCAACTGTAAAACAACATTAGCTATCAGCAAGAGAAGGCTCTTCCACCGCTGTGAGGGATGTTTCATTGGTCACATCTATGGTAATAAACAGCACGGAGCAGGGCTTACTTTCTGGCCCTGAGGGCCTGTGGTATAGCATCCAGTCAGTTTTTCTTTGATTTTTCACTTGAAGAGGGGTTTGTGGAGAAGTTTTCAAGATCTCTGTTTCATTTCCTATCAGAACCAAATAACTGCAATTCTATAGTTCTGAAATACTCCAAGCTTTCGTGTTTTACTTGTTTTCTCCAACCTCTCTTATCAAGCATACTCTCTTTCCTGAGTAAGAAATTCTGTACGTGTTTGGCCTACGGTCTGTAATTTTAAAATACCTCCAGTTACAAAGCTGAGTTGTGGATACATTTCTATGCATGCATGTATAGTGCAATGAGTGTGCCTAATAACAAATTTTGAAAGCAAAAAAATACACTTCCCTCTAATGTGGAATCACAGGCTGAATGAAAATGGGGAAGCTCGGAGAAGCTCTCTGTAGATAGAAGGGCCATTTCGTATAAGTGCTCAGAAGAAAGAAGACAGTGGATGAACAAGTGAAAAGGACTCATAGATCCCTGAGAATGCTACACTGGAATAAGCTGGCTAGGAGTGCTTCTGCCCTTCTACCTTTGGCTGCTCGTTTCCTCATGTCCACACCATCCTTTGTGTCAACACAAACGTTCAGATGGTGGCATGGTGAACTGGGCTGGAGAAATACTCTCAGGTCAAAACTGTACCTGGGAGGGTGGTGGTGATGTTGACAAGCTATTGTAACCTGAATCTGTTCCAAAGCCATATTCCCCTAGAAGTGAAGTGAGTTGCCAGAGCAGGACTGGCCGGGCCCACTGGTTTTGGTAGTGGTTTTGGCTTAGACTAAATACTTCCTAGAATCCCAGTACCATGTTTGTGGCTGCTGTAATGTTGGAATTGTTGGCCTGAGACACTGTCCAAGTCGGAGCTCTTACAGTGATGAATATCGGTATGCCACGTAGGAAAACAGCCACACCAAATTAGAAGGTTGTTAGTTTTGTTTGTTTTTATTAGTAGTAAATCCAGTGAAAGGAGATTATCCCTGTGGGTATGCACTAATCTCAAGATTAAATTCCCTTGATATCTAAGATACACTATTTTGGCATATGAGCACTCTTGGGATTGCACACCGAGAGTACACTCTGCCTTCTGTTGTCGTCATTAGCAAGTGAAACATGATGCAGTTATAGAATAAAACCCTCAAATCTATATTTATTTATAATTGTGCAACTTCCATCTGATTTTATTTGTTTGTTTTTCCTGGTTTTCTTTAGCTGCTTGTCTCTAGTGATATGTTTAGTGTAGCAGCTCTTCAGGGTCAGACCATTCCTATATTGTATCCTTAGACAGATATAGTTGGAGTCTCCTGACTCCACACAAATAATTGTGATAATGATAGCAATTAAATATATGGAAGCAGAGACTCCACCCTTTTCTTTGGGAACAATAAGAGAGATTTGGCAGTGAGCACTCCTGTGATTACAGGGAAAGTGTTTGTAGCTGCAGATCTATTGTGGCTTCCCCCTGAGCACAAAAATCAAGCTAATAGAAAGTCAGCACTTCTGTCATGAGTGCCACACTACCTCGTATTTGCAGAAACAACATCTGGCTTGTGCCAGATGAAGGAAAATTATCCCTTCTGTAGGGTCAGCACCTAATACTTACTTTTCTGTTTTCTGTGCCTGAAGACACTATAGGAATGGAAGTGTTCCCACCTATCCGTAGCATACAGAAGTTGGGGTGTATCAGATCACCTTAGAACTGCTTAGTGGAAGGCAAGCTTTAAGACCAAGAGCAACTCAAAAGAAAAATTTCCAACCAGTGGTTAAAATATAAGAAAAAAATCAAAGTGGAAATGAACAAAATGATCTATTAAATGTGAAATGTTCTTCCCTAGAAGTGAGATTCTGTTGTAAGTTGTTGTTCACACACCTTTGTGAGAATTAGAAATGAAATGCAGACAATAAAACCCTGTCACTTATATGATCTGAAGTGGCAGGTACATTCCTCCTTACATGTTTTATATTTTGTCATATTTTTCCCTAAACAGATGTTTTATAGGATTTATTTATACTGGAATTAACACTTGCTAAACAATAATGATTCAGTTACCTGAATTCAAAAAGATACAGACTAACCTAGCTGATATGCAGAAATTGAGGGTAAGCAAGATGTACTTCTCAGTACTTGCAGGAAATAATTCTTAAAATTTTGCCTGGGGTTTGCTGTTTTCTGACTATTGTAGCTGGGCTTTCTTGGTTAACTACTTCTACATGATGGTTCTGTCTGTCCACCTCTGAGTCCCCCTCCACCCAATAACTTTGGGACCCACTGGCCTCTAACAGCCATGGTGGTATTAGAGCCGGGGTGTTCACACAGGCTTTGTGGTTTTTGGGAGCTGTCACAAAGGTGGTTGTAATGCCTGCCACAGCTATTCTGAAAGGGAGCACAGGAATTGTTCTCTAAGCAGAATTAAATTGTTAAAGCAAAGATATTGTGGACAATGGGGACATGACAAAGCATTTTACTCAAACCTCAAAGGAGATGGAATAATAAACAAGATCTGGTTCAAGGTGCCAAGTTACTTTTTCATTATTAAATTATTTATTGTCCCAAATATTCCAAACAGTGATATCAACAATAAAAACTTTATCTAACATAGCATTTCTTTCTCAATGGTTCAATCTATATTTCACTAGGAGTGAACATAACCCTTTGAAATGCACAGAACAACTAAGCAACATTGTGCCTCTCTTTCAGCAACCAAGTTCTAGTGAATTCTGACCCTTGAACTGTACTCTAGCAACCACTTTAGCCAGCAAACTGCTGTGACACTGCTGGAAAAAACGTCAATCCCTGTAAAATTAACAGTTGAGCTGAGAGTGTTGAATCTTTGTGGCTGTGTCACTGTAATGTTTAGGAAACAGCAACCTTGAGACGTATTCAAGAAGGCACAGAAACTGTCCACTTTGTGCATCCTTGCATGGTCCTGTGTTATCTTGGGCCACAGCTTGCAGTGAAAAATAAAACACAGCTTTATTTAAAAAGTGAAACAAATCAATTGTGAAGTGGGGAAACTGATGGTGAACATTCCAGTTCCTTTGAGAAGGCATTTTTCTGTTTTTAATTATAATTTGCATGCCTGCTTTTGTAATACTTGAAAACAATCAAAGGTGCATCAAATATTATTTTGGCATCCCTTCTTCCCTCCCCATCCCACAATTTCTTCAGTTGTGAGAAAGATTTTTTGAAAAATAACCCCACCCTGCTAATCTTGGAAAAGCCTTCTGTTAAAGGAGCTGGTTTTGGCAGATGAGGTTAGGCCTAAGCAAACAAAATAATAAAATACTTCAACAATTTGTTGAATACCACATCTTATTCAGCCCTCAGAATGGTACAAATACTTGTCTGTTGGATATAAAGGGCAGTACATGTTGGACAAGCTGTGAGTTGTTACAAACTATGAATTATTTCAGATCTGATTTTCAAACATATATGAACACTTCTGCTCAGTGGCATCATCTGTAGCTGTGACTGTACTAAACTTAAGAGATGTTTTAACTTCAGAGAAGTTCCTTAACAGCTGAAATAACAGAAGAGCCACTGTTGCTGATCTTGTTGGTAACCTGCGGTATAGTGATAGCAGGTTGCAGCTGTGATTTTGGATTAAGTATGTTGTGCAGGGACAAAATTATTCCATCATCATGACACACGTGCCAGTGGACTGGCCAATGTGAGTGGGCAGTAGGAGGGGTGGTGCCGGATAGATTTATATCTGTCTGTAAGCTCACTGACTTTCTGGATAATACAGGCATAAGATCTGTAATTTGCAAGAGTATGAAATGTCTCTAGGGGAGGAGTATCACAGGACTAATGCCCTGTTTCTCTTTATTCTGCTCCTGTTAGTGATAACAGGCAAGGGAAAAATGTAATTTGGACACTACCATTATAAAGGCAGAAAGCTAATGCTAGCTCTTAAGAACAGAGGCAGCATGGTACAATTAGCATTTGGAGAGTAAAGTCATCGTTAAGAGGGCAGAGAAACATGTGGATTTTAGAGGGTGACATTGAGTATCATCTGGCTTCTGAAACTCTTCCAGAAAGTTAGAAGCTGAAGATCTGAGTGAGGGATAGTGCACTTATGGAGCACCTTGTCAGTTCTGTGGAGATAATAGTTTGATAATAGCTGTGACAGTGACCTTCTTGACTTCACATGATTTCTTTTGTTCTAAGACCTGGTTTAAATATGGCTTTGTGACCTATTATTTGAGGTTTTTGCATAACATATATCCAGGTTACAAACCTTTGCAGTCTTGGACCACAAACCTCCTACTGAAGGCCAGTACAAGTTTGAAGTCCAGGGTCGGACTCCAGCTTGTTACAGAAACATGGATGACATAGATAAAAGCAGTTTGACACATCACGTATAGTAATGAGACATCTGTCTTGTCACCTGAGATGAAGTTTACCAGAAAAACTGATAAGATACTCACCAGAGCTGTCCATAAGAGTTGAATGAGATTAAATGGTGCAGAGATCCCATCCCTGTCTAATTATGAAGACCTTTTTGTCCTTCCCTCTTTTGTTTCTTCCTTTATTTAATTGATTTCTCCTTTGAAGTGATATTTGAATAGATAAAGCAATGGCCAGACAGATACTATGTTTTGCTGCCGTCTCATTTTCAGAAACTGAACTATAGAGATAACAGACTGACCAGCCAGCATGGCCATTGTACTTGTGAAAAATGTAACTGGCTTTTGTAGAAACAGCCTTTTAAATCTGATCAAGCAGATAAATGAAGGAGGAGCATCAAATTACATTTTGTTCGGTTCAGTTGTCTATAAAGAAAATAACTTCTTATAATTGAAGTAAGAAATTCTTACATTACTTTCTTAATCAGACTTCACTAACTTTATCCTTTCCATCTCTTTTGTTTCTTTTCCTTCCTTCTCTGTGCTTAAAGTGCAGTATTGAGTTTGCTTCCTTCCCCCATCCCTCCGCTTTTCTGTTGTTTCTTCCCTCCTTCAGTGTTCATATTGCCTTTTGCCTTGTTTTCTTTGCTCATTTACCCCCTCAGAGATTCTCATTCTTTGGAATATTTATTCCGCATCATGAATAAGAAATTAAGTGAAACAGGATCACTGAAGTCAGAGTGCACTGCAGAAACTGGGCAGGTTGTAAAATCAGTCATCTTTTTCTTTTCCTTCCTGTTCCTTTCCTATTTCCTTTCCCTTCTTCCTATTGTATTCTACCCTTTACTTCTGACTCCCATTGTTACCACAGTAGTATTTCCCCATCTGCAAAGAGAACCAGGCAGCGTTAAGTGGGCTCCTTTGCTGGACCGAAGATAAAGGAGGGGATAAAATCTGTGCTATAAATAGCTTCAAAATGGCTTGAAAGCTTTAGATTTGATTGGCTTGGCTTGTGGTGCAAGACAATATAGCTTGACAGCTCTGACAGCCCTCCTGAACTTAGGCAGCCAGACTATCTCCTACGTTCTGCTCTATGCCATCATAAACCTTCTGTTATTTGAAATGGAAGTTTGACTGAGATATCTTAAATCCATTCAAACAGAGCTCGTAGAGAACATAAATAACATACCAAATGTGAAAATAACAATGATTTCCCCCTCTCTCTTGCCTGTCATCTTGCAGTGGAGAAAGTGGTTCTGGGAAGACTGAAGCCTGCAAACAGATAGTGAAGCACCTCACTTGCAGAGCCAGCTCCAGCAGAAATGCCTTTGATACAAAGATACAACATGTAAGTAGTGTTCTGATCATTGAGTAGAACAAAGCAAAAATCTGTCCTCTTGGACAGGCAAAGACATTTGAACTGTAAGGAAAATGGCATCTGCTATGCAGAAGTTCGTAAAGGGTCTGTTTTCACCGTTGGAAGTCAAAGGAGGTTTCTTTCCCTGAATTGACCTGACTGGGAACAGGATTAAGCTCACATTGATGTGATGAGAGGAATCTGAAAAGTGGAGGCCAGTTTTGTGTCTATATGTTTTGGTGACTTTGGAAAGCAGTGTTTCAGTGAATAGGAACGTTTGTGTGATAAGGTACTGTCTCCTAAATGTGTTCTAACTGTCTTCAGTAAGTAAATAAATTTCTCTGTATGGTTGTGGTGATGCTTCTCTGGACAGTATAGGAAGTGCTGAGGCAACTGAAGTAGTAGTATGTAAGACAGATACTGGAAAGTTGCAGGAAAACTGCAAGGACTGAACAAATTTATATGGCCCAGTGTTTGTATACTAAATACGTTTATGAAATAGGCAAGAGTTCTGAATATTTGCTCAGTCATTTAATTCCCACAGCAGAACCAAATTGTGCTTAGTGCATATCATGAAATCATGAGAACCTGCTTCACATATCAGATGAATTTCTCTCCTTGCTAGTACATTGTAAATATAAGTTTTTGTTTGACTGAGCATTGCAAATTTCACTGTTACAGCTGTACACTACTAGAAAGGTTCATACTGACCTTTTAAATTATGCTGAACCCTAGATTGCCAATTCACATTCTTTTAAAAAACTGCCTTTCCTGATAAAACTTCTCGTCTGAGATCCAGCTCAGAGATAGATTTACACAGAATGTTTTAGCACAGTCTGCATTATCATAGCTCAGTTCTGAGTTTCATACTTAAAAAAAAAAAAAACCAAACCAAAAACATTTAGACTCTTCAACCCCCTCTGGTGACCTTCCTCTACAGCACTTACAGTCAACCTGAGATACTTTTTTTTTTAGCTTTCACCTGCCATGTGCATGATATTCAGCAGAACTCTAGAATCATTCGTTGTGGGGTTTTTTAATAGCATCACATGCATCATTGAAAACACATTGCTTGCTTCCTGAATTATGCATGATTCAGTCCAGAAAGATGATAAAATAGTGTCAGAAGTACAGCTGACACTAACAGGCAACCTACAAATCAGGATTATTGGGATGTGGGAAAGCCTACAGGTAGACTGGTTCATTTTTTGCACATTCTAGCTGATAAGGTAATAGAAGTCTTGTGGATTTTAGAGAACAGTGTTGTATTTGTGTTTTTTGAAGACATTAAAAAAGCATGATAACACTGAAAACACTACAACCAAATAAGCTGTAGCTTTGCTTTACTTCGTGTAGTCATACAATTGCCATGTTAAAGTGTTTTTCACAGTGTTGTCTGATTCATTGTTGATGTTTCTAAACTGACACATTTAATCTTGGTTTCACGTGACAATGTTAAGAATATCCTTGTTATTTTTTCACTTTTTTGATTTAAATTTTAAAGTCTAGTGTTGCAATAATATCATTATGTAGGAACAGTACACTTTTACTTTATTTTTAAACCCAGGAGCCAGATCTACAACTGGTGTCTATTTCTACTGTGTATTTTTTTTATTTACTACCTACACAGGTTTACTTACAGTTTTGAACTGATGAGGCCATAGATGTTATTCAAGTAGAACTGCAAATTTCAGTTCAGATCCTCCAAGTCCTTTTCTTTCCTGAAGTTCAGATTAACTAGTGAGTAGAAGAATTAAGTAAATAAGTAACTTTGTGAATAAGCAACTGAAAACTCTGTGCTTTGGATATAAATATGGCAGCAGTGGGAATCGGGAGGTGTGGGAAGTAGTATTGTCTCTGCTGCAATTTATCTCCTGACCACAGGAAAATTCATAGGGACAACCCTCATGCAAATGGAGTAAGGTGTTGTCCTCAGTTAAGAAGAGGAATCAGTGTGGGAGGCGGTTGACCAGGCCTAATTTTCTCCATCTAAAAATTAGTTGACTCTGTAGACTAGTTTAACCTACTCTACATCTGTGTAGTAAACTGAACAACAATCCCTAACATGCAGTTGTTACACTGCTCCCTGACACAGTTTAAATCCCCAACAGGTCCTGTGGCCTGTTCAGAGGACAGCATGTGCCAGGGACCATTCACAACAGCATGTCCACCCTGTTGTGCAAAAGAAGAGGTGTTAGATGTCTGAATGTGAACCTTATTGTGCCACTTGCCGTTGAGGGTAGAGAGTCCTGCTCCTGGTCTTTTTTAGTTTAATAGCATAGATGTAGCAATATGTGTCAATGCATCTTAGTCAATGCAGGCGGAAGAGAATCATCACATATTAAGAAAAATGGGTTGCCTTTTGGTTATAGAAAGATCCCTTGTAACTAGCTTAGCTGGGACACCTGACTTCAGACAGCAAAGGTAGAGGTAGTAAATGCCACCCATGGGGAATCAAGTAGAGGTTCTGGTTTAGTTGCTTTATGAAGTGCTTTAATGAACATGATAGCCTGGATTTGTTCCTGCTGCAGTGATGCATAGCACCATTAAAGTTAATAAAGCAGCATGGGTTAAACCAAGTGCTGAATTAGCCTAATGAGCAAATAAATGCTAAACACTACTGGAGTGGAACCAAAACTAGGCTGACTAGTTTTCTGCTGCCACCTACTGCACAAATGGATGATTTAATTAACAATTCTGAAAAGTCTGATTTTCAGAGGTTCTGTCTTTATGATTGGAACCACATGTTATCTGTGCCACTCCACAGCCCTCTTCTCTCCCCAGCTATGTCATCCAGCTTCAGCAAAACACTGTTACATCAGAACAACACTGTATTTGGGCCACATTGCAATGAATTTCTTAGGATGCAAAAGAGGAAGTGCTAAAGTGAATACTTCAGGGTGTAAGGGGTATAAGAAACTAATTAGACATAAAAAAGCTAAATACAGAGAAAACATGGAATAAAGATGGCATATCTAATGCTTTCTTTTTAAATGCTGTTTTAAAAAAACCTGCTGTGACCATGAAGATGTAACATGGAAATGCATTAGTGAGAGATGTCATAAAAAAGTCTGAATCTGGTTTTTTCCTCAGTTTTTCCACTAGTATAATGCTGAAGTAATTCTATTTGAAATCCATAATTTATGCCATTTCTGGCATCATGTAAAGCTCGGAAATTCCTTTGGTTGGTTATTAGTACCGACTGACTGTAACTTTACAAGCAAGGCTGCCTTCAAAGATCCTAATGTTTTTGCTAAGCATGCCAGCTCTGGGCATATGGCTGCAGTCACTTGTATCCAGACTACTGGTAAGGACACAGCTTGCATGTGAGCCATTGTCTTTCCCCTTCCATTTACAACTTCCACTATTCTGGCAGCACTTTTTTTTTTTTTTTTCTTTTGAGCTATCTTACTTTAATTTCTATTTAGAAAAAAACTTTCAAGGAATTTGTTAAATTCCAAGCTGAAAAATGGTCTTGCCCCTGCAGTCACTGATCACAAACCAACCTCACTGATGTTTATTGAAATATCTTCCTGTTTATTTCCTCTCTTACTACTTCTTTATCATTGTCTTGCAGGTAAACTGTATCTTGGAGGCTTTTGGACATGCTAAGACACCCTTGAATGATTTTTCCAGCTGTTTTATAAAATATTTTGAGCTACAGTTTTGTGAGAAGAAAAAAATGTTAATTGCAGGTAAGTATCATTTAATATGTTTATTTTGAAATCGCCCACAGACTAGTAGATCAGGGATCCCAGTGTGCCATACACAGAGTTAGAGTACATGAAAGAGGCAAAGGTGTTTTAGGGAGTGTCAGAGGGACATGTTTAATAGCATGTGAATTCATAGCTTGTCAAGGGTAGTATTAAGAGGGAGAGCCCCATTCTGTGCAACCACAAGGTGGCAGAGAAAGACAAGAAAAAAGAATTAACACCACTGATGCCTCTTCCTAGGAAACCACATTTCCCTTTATGCCTGAGATTAACAAACTGTGACAGCTGTGTATTGCTTTACTGTGAAATAAAAGTGACAAAGAGATTAATTTTTGCATTTGTATCTTGTATTGGGTATTTTAAGTATCCCTTAAATAAGTGATAAACTCATGTGTTTAGGGCAAACAAAATACAAGTATCCTCTGTAATACTGAAATTAGAAGTAATTTATTACAGCTTTGAGCTTCTTCTAAAGGAACTAGGAACCATACTGATGTTTATTCTCACTAGAGGTAAGATAGTGTGGAATTTGTGCCTGATTTCAGAGTAAGTGGGAGTCTGCTAATCCACACTAAGCGTTCATTAGTGGAAAAAAATCAATATTGGGCAAAACTTCACTTGGATTCTGAAAACTCTGATCTTTGGGGGCAGTCAGGGAGAGGTTTCATTTCTGGTGTGCATAGGTCATCGTAAGTTACTCGGTGCTAAAGCGAGAGGTGTGTGCAGAAATAACTGTACACAGACAGTTTCCTACTTGCACTGATCTTCCTGGACGGAAAAGCTGTGTGATGAGACACACTTTTGATCCAAGTAAATTAGATTCCATTGGATAAACGTTTCCAAAACGACTCATTTTTTATCAATTTCAATATATTAATGTTTTTGGAAGAGTTTCCTAAAAATATCCTTTGGAAATACTTCATAGTGGGAATTACAGTTCATTTTCTTGTGAGAGTTCACTGTACCCTAGCAAATACAATAGTTTCTTTGGTGAAAATGTCACTGCATGGGAAATTACTGTCACTTTTTTCTGATTTGTTTTACAATAGATATACAGGAAGTTTGTAAAGAAAATGTAAAACTAAAAAGTGTGGTGGGGCATTTTTTTCCATTTATGAGCTATTGCGGGAGGATTATAAAGAAAGTGATATAAACATTAGAATGGACTAAATAGCATCTGAATTGGGCTTGTAAAAATAAACTTCAATCCCTAAAACTAACATCTTATAAATCCTTTGTATATATTTAATTTGAGTATACCACAATTACTTTGCACACACTCCTTCTCTTTTTTGTTGCACACACAGAACACAAACAGATGAAAAGGATCCTAATTTTGAACAGTCAAGCACAGCATATGAACATTAGGAAATGCCAGAACTGAAGTTGTCTGAGAGACTCTTGAGTTGCCTTGTGCATACAAATTTAATGCTGCTGTTTTTCAACCCCTCCCCAGCTTCATTCATTGCAGAGAGAATGGACTGTATTTCTTCAGTGATCTGCTACTAAACAGTTTGTTTTCCCTTCATTGATTCACGTGTGGCTTGTGCCATTTTATTCTGCTCTAAAAACAGAGTGCTAGTTTTTCTGTGAATTTTCTATGTTGTTGATCAACATTTTTCAGTGTATGAGCATTTCAGAAACATAAATGACTTCATTTTCACAGTACTTCAGACCTAAGGTTGTGTCATTCAGTTCCTCAGATGAGGAACGGAAGCCTCAAGGCCATGTGTTCCCACAATTTTCAGGTGCCTGGCTTGAGATTGCAAGGACTTAAGTTTTCTAGCTGCTTTACTCAGACTTGCCAGTTTAATTCACAGCCCTGGTCTGTGAATTATATAAATGTAGAATCAGTTAATCAGGCTGTCATGTCAGTTTTCTGTTACACTAATGTTGTGTTTTTATCACGTTCAAGCCATAGGCATTAAATGAGAAAATCTAGGTATAGTCAAGTCCATTAACAAATATAAACAAAGTACCTGCCCTACTATTCCCCAGATATTTAGGAATTGAATCAATTACTCTTACCAAATCTAAGGTAGCCAAAAGTTCCGTAATTCACAATCAAGAGAGAAGCTCCAGTACAGCACTAAAAAAGTGGGGTTTGTATTTTTGTAAGTTGCAGTTGTTGATGCTGTTTGATTTGCATTGTAGATGTTGACTTTCCTAGGCCACTGCTAAGCATCACTTCTGAGTGAAATTGTCCCAGGTTTACACCACCATAAATGAGAAAATAATCAGGCATGTTGTCTTTGGCTGGTTTAAATCCCACCCAGGGATTCCCTGTATCTATTTGCAAGGTCATTTGCAGCAGTATTTACTGCCTTGCACTGTTTAAACATGAATGAAAAATGTAAATATGCAAAGCACCTGATTCTGCTGAGACATGACTTCCTAACTCATTGAGACAAACTGGGCTAAATATATCTGGTTTGCAAACAAAAATCCAAGTGACACTAGACTGCCTCTGTCAAAGGGTTTAGGTTGTTTAAAGTCCTTAACAGACAGATCTTAAGGGTGGAGTTTCAGAACAATTAACTATGGAAGTGGCATGCAAAGTACCTGTGTACATTTTTATTACAGAGGACAAGCTCAAGGTAGCATTCCTTGCATTTTGAGTGGACATTGGTGAAGTTTGTGAAGGCTTTTTGTTCATGCTGAAGTTCTTTTATGCCTAGACCCTGGAAATGCTCTGACTTTTGTCACCTAAGGTTTATTCTTACAGCAGAAAGTCCAATATACCTAAATAACAGGAACGCTCACCATAATTTTCATCTACAGGCTTGATTTGGTCTTCCTCATAAACTGGATCTTTGCCATGAAGTTTTGAAAACAAGGATGGAGCTCTTGCTTGTGGTTCTACTCAAAGCCAGTACAGATACCTGTAGAGGTTTTATGTATCTTCTCTGACTTGTTTCTGATGAGGTGTGCTGCTATGTTGGGTTCAAATGGGAGGTTTTCTGTGACAAGTGGCTTTGTGGTCAGGTATCTTCCATTGCTTTAGTCCAGTGAAACAAGTAGAGAAGGTATAACCCAGATTAACCCAGTTCTTTGTGACTGGATAAGATAAAGCAGTGGGAACTAGTAAAAAGTCTTACATCAGAACAAATACAGACTAAACTACAGGTCAGTGATTTCATTAAGTTTCTAAAATAAATTCATATCTAACAGAACTCAAAGACTGATCTTCTGCCAAAAAATCTTAATCATTCGTAGGTGATGATTCATACCCACTGCATAGTAGTAAAAGACTGAATATTTATTTATTTACAGAAGTAAAATTACTGCATTTTATTTTTATTTGGAAAAGGGGAGAGAGTAAATGGTCTTTCAGGTAAGTTGACATTATTCCTAAGATGAAAGGTAAGGCTTCTGTCAAGTTTCCTCAAATTACTAGAAGAGAAGCTTAGGAAGAGAAAATCAAGCCTGACAAACTTACTCTCCAGATTTTACTGCCTTGCTTTTCAGGCCTTGCACTGTACCTAGCACTGTACCAGCTACTAGTAAGACAGTTAACTCTATCCCAGCTGAAACCAGGACACTCAGTCTTCACTTTTTGAAAAGCAAGGACTGATTTTTTTTTTTTTTTTTAAGTTGCACTGAAATGGAAGGATCTAATTTGATTTGTAAAAAGAAGCGGAATGCATGTTTACCCGTGTGTTACAAACGTTTTTTTATCAATTAAAAAGTTTCAGACATGAATTTCCTTTTTTGGTACAAGAAAGACTGCAGCCAGCTAAGCTCTCTGATGTTTTTGTACTGTGTTTCAGCTCTGAAATTTCAAGTGTTATTTTGTCTTTAGCAATAGCTGTGTTTAGGACGGCATGGTTTTTGAGAAAGAGCAATGTAGTTTCAAAGAATGCATAGCTGGAAGAAAGATTTCACTGGCCACACTTTACGGAGTCCACTTGCTGACTTTGTAGCTGTTCCGTAGATGGAGTGATCTATTAAAGGAAGTACAAATTTCCTTGTACATGAAAACACAGTTAACATGGCACAAAAAT